AATTACTTATTTTATAAGTTTTTATTAAAAGGTATAAAAATAAAAATAAGGGATAAATAATATAGGAAATAATAGGTTTTTACACGGAATTTATATAAGAAAAACCACGGCTTTATATAACTAAATAATTAGTTAAATATAATAGCTTAATAGTTACTTAGCCTAAGAATTCCCAGCTTTCGGATAATTCTACCCCTTGCACCTACAGCTCTAACGTGAAAGGGGTGGCGTAGTATTTTAGGTTTTATCAGACTTCTTCACTAATTTGTGACAAGTAGCTTTAGCGGCTGAAAGCTGGGAAACTTTCGTGCCACTAGCTGCGGAGACAACATCAGGACGGATTACGCGCCAGCTTCAAGGAACTTCCCATCATGATCGGAATAAGAAGGGTCAATCCTTCAGCTCCTCAAATAAATCTGGGCCTTTAATAGTGCTCTTTGACATGTGATATTATGAGCTTATTTGACAGCAGTTGCCTATGTCGTCCCCAGTGGCAAGAGAATTTGGCCATATAAAGCCACATTTACGTAGCCATCCTGGTGCCTCAACATCTCTGCTAGTGGGGAACCCCCCCCGGTGTTCAAGTAATAGCCCCATAACACACTCTTGTAACTTGGAAGATCGTAGTAGCAGCCGCTGCCTTGGGCAATCCTTATGTGGTATGCGGTAATATGCTCTCAAGCGGCAATTAAATTTATTCTATCACGCTGTGGCTAGCTACGGGTGTAATTGAAGTTGATTAGGTCCTTGAACTAAGTTGACTATCTAAGAATTATACCATCTTCTTTTATGATTATAAAATAGGGAGGTTGGTGGGAAAATAAAGAGTTGGTTAACCCGCCGCTCTAGTTAACAGGATCTCTTGTCTCTTGTTAAAATAAAGGCTCCCGTTGACATATTCTATCCAATAATGCTCCCTCAAGATCATCGCCTTTATTTCGGTTAACCGAATTCCTTAACTGGTCAATAACTTTCCTGGAGGAGGCTAAAGTGGCACGTCGGGGTACTTTTGGACGGCTGCTCACACCTATCGTAGGCAGGCCTCTTCCCGTTTGACGAATATCCGAATACTCCCAGCCACTATACACCTCTCGGCATGGCTCTTCCGACATCGCCAGTATTCTCAACCTCGACCTTACTTAATTTGCGATCAGCCCTTCCCTACACGACGCCCCACTCTTATGTTAAGCTTCGCGGTGCTCAGTTACGAGGCGTTTTATTTTACAAAATTGGACCCCCAGTCACCTATAGATACTAATTCGATTGGACAATAATCCGAGCTGATAGGGCTGGAACGTGAGGGCTGAGAATGCTCACCAGTAACCACAACTCTATTCTCGGCCTAACAGTACTTGGTATTAGTGAAACTAAGTTTCAATTCCCTTAGGGCTCCAAGGACAAGATTCTAGACTAAGAGGAGCGTTATAAGTTCAAACTCTAACTTTAGCGCCAGCACTCAAATGTTGTAGAAGTGGCGGCAACCCGTGCCACCGCTGATACTCGACCGAACTCTCTGTCTGGCCATGGTCAAGGCACCGGGAGAGATTTTACTGTCTGCAAAAAAGGGGGGGAAAGGCGGCCGCTAAGCGAGAAAAGAATCCATCGGGTCTTCAAGTTCTGGGACTGCCTGTTGCCCAGAGATATAATGGTGGCTAAGAGTTTCTGATAGGAAAACTAGTTGAGCCTTTAACATGGTCCGAATTCTCTTTGTTAATGGACAAAATACAAAGCATCTACAATTGAGAGGCAAATAAGGTTTAATTATCTAGGGCACTAGTGGAAGTGTGGCATTCCCCCCTTGCCTGGTCTATTTGAACCGTGACGCTCTTGTTGCGTTTCAGCTGTTTGTCTAGTACAACAAAAGCGTTGCTGCACCAAAGACTGGCAACAGTAACACATTGAATGAGCCAGTTATAAGAAAAAGAATTGTCGGATAAGTATGCCTCTATTAATAGGACAAGCAAACTTGGTGTAACCGCTACCTGTTATGTTGTCGGCTAGTACAGAGAGGGATATACGTAAAAAGCAATTATACGGTTTAAATAAGAGGAAGTTGCTATTATATAATATAACTGCAGAAAAATTTCTGCAACAAGTTACAACGAACTATATACCACGGAATTTACTAGTATGTTAACAATACTTGGCTGAACATGACTCTCATAACGTGGCAGAAACGTGGCACAGGCGTTGGAATTTGGATTTGCGTTAATTCAAACGCCAGTAGCAGGCTTAGGATGAGGTGACCCTTCCTACCTCACGTTCTCCGCACTACTACGTAAGCGACGGAATGTCACGCAAGACGTATGAGAGTGGAGTCTATTCTTATACCTTGACGCCAGTAAGAGCTGCCACACATGAGATTGCGGAATATTCCATAGCGACAAGCCGCGAGTTGATAGCCTATATATATTGCGATCCAGTCCCGCCTATCAATTACTGCTAGGCACAGCCATAGCTGCATAGGACACTAACTTGATTAGTCCGCCTTCCAAAGACTACTAATGGCCCCCCCCTTTTTTAAATCTCTGGCCAGCATTAATACTTATCTGCCAATAATGTCTCCGCAGCAACAAAACGAAGAGAATAATCAAGATAATAGTAAGAAGGGGGATCAGAATCAGACAACCGAGGAAGAGAAAAAAAAACATGAAGAGGACGAATTTAAAACGAATTATCATATTTTCGTCGAGACGATCTTTGAATCTCCAAACCTTAGCCAAGAAATCCGAAATAATATCATGAAGGATCTCGGAGAGCTCAAATCGGGCAATGGTACCGACGAGCCTCAAAGGCGCTCTAGCTTAAAATCGAGTAATAGTAGGTCTACGAAGGGTGAAAAATTATATTTCACCAAGTGTGATGACGAGACTGGCGATAAGGGTCCCGAGTATATATATCAGCATCGGCTAGCTGTGGAACTCTTAGTGAAAGCGCTATCCGATCACTCATACCAGATTATTACTCGCTTTATGCCACCTTACTGCTCAACAGTAACTTTCTACAAGGATACTATCGGATTTGTTACGGTATCAGCCCTTAAGCCGGAATTTGAGCTTGATATCACGACGCATGGAAAGGAAAGAAACATACACCTCACCGTCGGGGCAATCCACACACTCATGCAAGCTTACAAAGACACAATTGTACTTCATCGATCAAAAACCGCCGTCGAGGGCCTGGAAGGGCCTGTGGAAAATCCGCGCGATATTAAGGCCCATCAAGAGGCGCTAGAAAAGCGCCAAAAGATTCAGACTGAGGAAAAAAAAAATCATGCAACTATTTCGAAACTTTCGGAGTATAATCAAATGTTTATTCGGATCGAAGGGAAGAGCCCAGAATTCTCACCAAAAACTATCCTGGAATACGGCCGCGCGGATACACCTAGCCAGACTGATTCTGGAGTTTTTCTAAAGCTCTTTCGGCAACTTTACCTGCGTTGCATTGAGGACCCCCGTCTCCTGATTCACCGGTTGCTTATCGACAGCAAAATCAATTTCTCGGAAGGGCCGGGCGCCGTATGGAACGACTACTTCCATTACACTCACGATGGCAAATATGCGCATAATACTCGTATAATAGAAGGAGAATTATCAGGCCGTCTTAACTGGTTCGGTCGGAGATTGGCCACGATTAGCCTTAACGCGACAAACGTCATAATATCGGCCGCAATTGCGTTATTCAGCTCTGCGAAGGGGGTTAGCCAGACCGGATTGATTGTCTCCGGCGCAGTCCTTCTCGGTTTTCGCCTTTGGCAGAACCTTTGGTCGTACTTCATCACAAGCTGCACGTTTGAGAATATTGAAAATAATGACTTTAGGATGCGGAATATACCACAAGCTAATACCTTATTTGGCTTAAGAAAGCGTAACTTACAGCTATTCCTGGCTATGATATCTCCTATAACAAGAATTGACGCATCTGGATTTAAAAACACTTATATAGATATTGCAAGGACTGGAGTACTTGAAGTGTCTGACACAGCGCCAGCGGAGATCATTTATTTCGCTGGGTACGTCACAAGTGCTCTAGAAACAAAGAATTCAACAATAGCAGCTTGGATTCCATTTGATACCGATCGAATCACTTACCCCTCAAATGATAAGATACGGGAAATGTCGCTGATCAAGAATACGTTTCGACTACGTCATCCCGGCAAGTTGGAATGGTCGACTACACCACGGGACTCCAAGAAAAAGGCCTCAGACGAGGACCCCAAGAAAAAGCCCTCAGGCGAGGACCCCAAGAAAAAGGCCTCAACGGGTGAGCAGTCTGCTGAGCTAAAGGATGAGCAAGTACTAAGCCGCAGACTTGTCTTGAGGCGCGATGGAGATATCCTCGAATTGCCAGAAAGACTATGCATGTACGGGAAAACGTGGGAGTATCTTGTCGGATAACTCTGGCGAAGCATCTGTACTGAGATTCCATTCAGGCACCACATACTAATGGCCAAGCTAAGCTCAGTACTGATAAAGGCCAGACCCCATTTTCAAGCGTGGCTACTAGTACGGCAAGTCTTCAGGCCGTCCCAACAATTAATCTTGTTGGGGCAATTGCACGATCTGCGCTACAGCTGCTCGAGCCCAGACAGATTGACTTCTGGTTAATTGCAGTCTAGAACCTGTAGCGGTTATGATAACGGGCACTAGGCATTTCTGACTTTAGTGTGGATCGATTATAAGGAGACAGGAACAGAATGTTAACAGCGGGGATGTAAATTATCAAGTTGATACATTATGCGCAAAATATCTGCTGGAACACATTGATTATTTCTTGTAATATATTCAGAAGGCGCGTAAGAAGCGCGGGGTTAAGCACATAATTATAGTTCAATCGCGATTTAGCTTTCATTAGCTCTTTAATAATACTAGACGCTATATTGATATGCCTGGATAAGCGGCCCTTTTCCAGCATTCTTTATTAATTTCTCTTTACTAAGTCGCTAAGTATCTTAAAAGTACTACTGTCTAACGCGTTAATAGTATAATTTTAGCTAAAAGTCTCTAGAATTAATATTTCTAAGATATATAACTTATCTTATAAGTAAGCAGCCCTGCCTATTATCATGAATAAAGTTTTAAGCTTATTACCTCTTAGTAAGTATATTAACTCCTTTAAGTACTTTTTAGTACTAGTATTATCTAGCTAATATAGCTTATTAATAATATAAAACACCTTATCTGGCAATAACTCTATTAGTTTTTAAATTACTGCCATGGATTTATCCTATAATCTAGCTATTTTATCTAATAAATAAAACTAGGTTTCTAAGAAGTTAAACTTAGCCTTAAAGCGTAGTAAAAGGAGCTTAATTATTTATTATAGTAGTATAAATACCAGAGTAATTACTCCCTATAATTTAGGCAAGTAGCCCAGATAAAAAGGTTCGCTATAGTATAACTCGCAGAAATATAATATAATAGGAATATAATACTATAATACTAAGTTAATAAACTTAGCAGCTATTATAATTACTATATTTTCCATGTCGTCAGTTTTAGTAGGGGGGCTATTAATCTAGAGTAGTCTTGGCAAGAGGAATTTGGAGGTCCGGCAAAAGGGGCTGTTATCTCCTTGGATGAGAGATTATGTATGTGTACGGTGACCAGTTTTGCATTCCGGCGATTTATTAGAATATGTATAAAAAGCTCGCTTTATCCGGCTCAGACTTAAAATACTCAACTCACTTCAGCCCGTACCAAGCAGATATTAACAAGTCTGACCTCGCCTTCTCGTGCTGCCATTTCTTTTTTGTACTTCATAAGGCCTAAGCTTTTCAGGAACCATCAGGTTTCTTTTTAGTTTACAGCTGTTTACCAAAAGCCGGTCACACAATTCTCCTTGATTTTTTGGTACTTAGTATTAGAAATATCGTCACTGGCCACAGGATGTCTGGGCCCTACAAGCAAATTGATTCAATCACTCCTGTCTCACAGGATGGAACCGTGGCAGAAGGCTGGTGGGCGAGAGATAAGAGCAAAAGCAATAAGGGATGCGATCCAAAGGAGGGCAAGCAAATCTATAATAAAGAGACCACCGAAACGTATGTAATAGCGAATTAATAGCTAAGTATTAATCAGACTTAGAATATACTGACCAGAGGAAATTAGTGTTCTTACGACTCCACCCCATCATGGGTATAGTATTCTCTCTAATAAACCGTCGCTTACAGCTCTCTTAGGTATAATAGAAGTTTCTTCTCACAAAATATCTATATCTAAAAACTTTAAGGAAGCTCTTTTTAAGTTATTATCTAGTATTTATAAACTTAATATTAGTAATAACCAGATTTATAAACCTTATCCTAATACTAGTACTAATTAGGGAGACTTGGTTCCTGGATAGGATTATAAGCCGTGCTCTAACGCGCCTATATCTCTAATGGCATTTTAGGACATTAGCCAGGACGTACCCGCAAGTTCCGTCCTTGAGAGCTGTACAGAGGAAGACCGGCTTGCTCTTCCGAAGCTGGTAATTTCTGATTACAAGTCACCCCAACTCCAAAATCCGAAAATTTCGACATAGTTTGGGAGACAGGGAGCTAGGCCTACGATGCATATATTGATTCCAGCATTCTCATGACGGACTGGCACGGCAGACTTGCGCGGAGCCCTAGAGGAGAGGCGCGAGGGAATGTGCGATTTCGCGCTAAAGCACTATCTTTAGTGAAGGTCCCGTTCCGAGCGCTAAAGGGCCAGGTGCTTTGACGATGGACCCTTCCACCTGTCTCAGCTTCTTGTCCAGCGGGAGGGCGTCAACAAGATCCGCCTTGTAGTGATATAGCAAAAAGGTACGGCCACAGCGAAGAGGTACGGCCATAGCGAAGAGGTAAGACAGTACGGATCTGGCCCGCAGACATGGGCGAGTGCATGCAGGTCATTGATATGCGACAGTCTGCGAGAATCTTGTCATTTGAACCAGACCGTCTACTTACTACTATAGGCGCATTCACTATATTCGGAAATACCTCCGTATCCACTTCTACAAATGTTCCAGAACACCTTACCGGTGTGATCGCGCATCGTACTGGCTACGGCATTAGTCTAGATAACCGCTGGGTCACATTTAATGGAGAAAACACCCTCTGGTTACCGATGGAGTTTCGTCCTATTTGCTTATCTGTATTAGAAACCGCCGTCGCAATTGGGTGCAGCTCGGGCAGAGTTATAGTGCTTGACTTTTTGCTCCGTGGAATCTAAAGGTGTATGTGGCAATTGAAACTGAACTTTGTATCTGGTTTCTTCCATACCTTTGCCATTGAGGGTTCAAGGGGGGGGGACCATAATATAGCATACTGTACACACTGTTACTGGCTAGTAAAAGATTCACTCTAGGACTTCACCGGCACCTGCTCGCTTCTATGTTAGAGTTTGTTGTATATATCGCCCTGTCTTTTCGGACTGAATAAGTCAAATCACCATCGCGTGGGCTGATTTCCTGCTCTTTTCGTTCGATCTACGGAGGCCCTTAGCGCCATTGCTTGTAGAAGCTGCATTTCGCCACTCAGCCATTTTAGACTTCAACGGACCCATTTCCCAGTAGTCCCGTCTCTGAGGAATATAAGCAGACCGTACGAGACTGCACAATTACTGCAATGTGGGTTCCCTCGATTTTATTTGAAACAAAGTAGAAAAAAGGAAGCAAGCTTTGCATAAAACAATATAAAGGGAGGACAGATATATCTTATTCGAAATCCATGAATTCTGATAGACCTCTGACAAGGTTCAGGTTCAGGTTCTATTCCTACTCGGTTTTAGCCGCCA